GGGCGAAAAAAGGGTTAGGATGTGATGGACAGGCAAAGTGCATTCAGTACTTTACCTAACAAACACACAATGTTTACCTAGAGAGCAGACACCAATGTAGGCTACCTAGTGAGAAGCCTACCTAGACCGCGTTTTTGGGCAACATAGGTGCTGCCCAGGTAGGCAGCTGAGCTCCCTAGGTTTTAAGACACAGCCAATGTCATTTGGAGTGTCACGTCTAAATAATTTCATAATTACTGTCAGACATATTAGGAGAAAATTTGCATTTACATTTCTTTGTTGATAACCAACTATGTGACCTTATACATAGGTTTCGGCTTTTTCTGAAGAAAAGTATTATGAATTTTGCTTCCTACCTGTGAGCAACCAATGTTTTTATCCTCCAGGCATTTCAGCAGCGTGAAGCAAAACACTGCGAAGGCGTTTCAAAAGGCTGCGGGTGCGTGATTCGCCTTCAAAATAAAGGTCCCGAAGCAACATAAGAATAACAACGTCCCCAAAAATTGCTTACTTATTCACTTAATTCCAAACCCGACTTTATGTTCTTTTCAATACAATAAATGTAAATGAAAACTGGGGCTGCAAAATGTCGAAAACAGTATGTTAAAAAAAGGAGAAGAAATGTAAAGTTTGAGTTTGCACAAATAAAATGACTAAGAAATTAACTCAACTGTAGAAATTGATCTTATTCACAGCTGTTTATTTCATTTGTATCTTTGTTCTATATTTATTAGTGCTATTGCATGTAATTGTTTATTTGTTCTTATTTGATGACTGTTTGGTTGTCTATTAAAAATGTCAGTTAGGCTGTTATAAATCTTCAATGGTCGTTGCTCAGAAAGTTTACACAATGTAATTACAAGTTATACAAGCACATGAAGGCTTTTTTACAGTTCAGATGTCATTACAGTAATTATAGGGCTAGATAAAAATGATAGATTTCTCAATTTTAATAAATTCTCATGCAGTTTTACGAACTGAAATCAATTCTTAGGCTAAATCCCAAGAAATAACCAATTAGGCCCATTCACACCAAAGACGATAACTACAAAGGTAAAGATATAGTTACAAATCATTCTCAAAGAATAGCAGAATTCACACCACAGCTGTAACGATAACGGCCCAGAGAAACGATATTGTTGGAATCACTGTTTTGGACTTATCACTTATTAACGATTTTAGCTGCATGATGACCGAGAACAATATTGACATGCAACCAGAATCTTTCTTTGCCTGCTGTAATGTGTGTGTGTGGACGATAATATATCTTATTGATGCCCAAATTCAATGTCCCACTTTATTATGAATGTTCCTTACTCTTTGGAATGGACAAGAGCATGTGTTTTGGCCTCTCCTTTGCCCAGGTGTGAGCTGGCTTCCAGTTTTTTCCAAAGAGGAACCTGTCTCTTGTGACTTTGACTAATTAGATAAGGATTAGATAAGGACAATTATACACCCTTGTAGAGGTCTACCAGGACTGCTTTTTTCGTCAAAGATGTCGGGACCGGCCGGCTATTGTCAGTCCGCCTACTCCAGTCAAACTACACCAGAGATAACGACTGCTACCATCTTTGAAATTGAATGAATCCACTCCCTGTTGTCGCTAATAATCCAGGGTCTGTGACGGGTCACTTTTCAACCTCTCAACTGGTAAATGGCATTGGTAAATTGTAAATGGACTGCATTTATATAGAGCTTTCATAGACACAATGGCCACCAAAGCGCTTTACAATTTGCCTCACATTCACCCATTCATACACTCATACACACACCGACGGCGGTGTCAGCCATACAAGGCGCCATCCAGCTCGTCGGAAGCAGCTGGGGTTAGGTGTCTTGCTCATGGACACCTCGACACTTGGTCAGGTGGAACCGGAGATGTAGACAACCTACATGAATCACTGAGCCACTGCCGCCCCCGGAGAGGGATTACGAACAACGAAGTGGCTCACTGGCACACTAGAGACAGGCTACAGTCTTCAGTTCCATCACAGACTCCTATTATGCATACGTGCTTGACCCACATGGGTTTGGGACCTTCGTCAAGCTACGGGAGAGGGTGTAATAGTTAAAGTAAATCCCTGAAACCATCCTGTGGGATTTTACTCAAGATACTTCCTTGTTTGCAAGAAGGATGGAAGTTTCAGGCCCATCCTAGACCTAAATTGGAGTCTATGCCTAAATAGGAGTCTCAAACGCCTTCGTTTCTGCATGCTGCATGTCATAGATGTCCTCGCCATCGTACCTTGCATGTGGTTTACTTTTGTGTATCTGAAGGATGCATACTTCCACATCCCCATTGCACCTCATCCCAGAAAGTTGCTTCGGTTAACGTTCCAGGGCAGGACATGATATTGGATATTGGTATGCAATATTGTGGCCTCTTCCTCTCTCCCTGTGTTTTCACACGGTGTATACAAGTGACACTAGGACCTCTGCAGCGGGAGGGCATGATGATTCCCCTGTACCTGGAAGACTGGTTGCTCTGTGCCAGCAGGACACCTCAACAGGCTGCCAACAACACAATGCTTACTGGAGCATGGGTTAGGACTGAAGGTAAACCCACAGAAAAGAAACCTACAGAGCTGCCTCACTTTGTGATAGTCAATACGCTTCCTGGGATTACATGTTGATGAGGGCCACCCTCACAGCATGCAGGAGGCAGGTTATATGGGGAGGCATAGTAGAGATCCAGGTTTGATGCAAGCCAGCTACCTTATCTCAGTGTCTTACAGCAAGCTAGCCTTCTCGCGGAATCCTCATCAGCCACATCAGGCCTGTCACACCTTCGCTCATTTCAACGCTGGCTGATAGCCAGTCAGTTGTTGGCAGTCCTCAATTGGAATACCCCTTTTCAGATCACAACCAGTTGTTCTGTTCATCTGAGGCCTTGGAGACAAGTACGATTTCTGTGAAGGGGTGTACCAATGGGACCACCTCTGGCATGCAGGTAAGTAATGACAATGGATACTTCCCTTACCAGATGGGGAGGACTGTGGCAACATTAGGTTTTCGCAAATGAATGGGGAATATAAATTGGTATGAACAGATTAATAGCAGCTTTCCCTAAGGAAGCAGTAAGTCTTAATCCACCAGCACAGGTAGTACAAATTCAGTAGGACCTCCAGGTGGTGCTTAATAGTCCATGCTCAGCAAAGTCATTTGAACAAGTGGACACTGAAGGCCAATTTATACTTCTGCGTAGGGTGCGCACAGTAGGTACGGCGTAGCATACGCACAGACGCGTCCCATTGCGCGTACCCTTCGCCGTCGCCTGACGCGCACCTCCTCAAAAATGTAACTACACGTCGCGACAACGCGGACCGCAAGATCGGTGATTGGTCGGCTTGGTAGCATCGCATTTCCTCCTACGCATTTCCGCACGTACCTTCTCACGCATTTCCATCACTGTCTATGATTTCCACACGTACCATCTCCTCCGACTTCTTCTCTCATTTCTGCCTTTCAGTTTTAGTAATTTCACTAAAGTGAACTGTTTTTCCACCTCAATAAACTCCAACTCCAACATGATCCACTCTCTTTCAATCGCTATTGCTTGTAGTACCCTAGCCGCGAGGAATCTAAACACAGTGGAACATTAAAACCCTCCGCCGCCAACTAGCGTTTCGGAGCAGTACTGCAGAGCAACAAGACCTGAACGCAGAAGTAAATGCTCATAACGGCGTCGCTTACGTGCGTAGCCAACGCCGCACATTACGGCGTACCCTCGACGCAGAAGTATAAATTGGCCTTAAGAGTTTTTGTATGAGGACTGCTTTTCTCTTAGCTATAACGTCAACCAAAAGGGTTGGGGAGCTACATGTCCTCTCGGTGAGCCCACACTGTCCCAGATAGGAACCTCATAATGATCAGGTTATACTTTCAGTAGCACCTCAATGCAGCATATGAGATCCACGGGGAGGAGTCGGATCAAGATCCAAGGGGTGGGGATGGGTAGGATTAGGGTTGGGTTTAGGGATCAGGGGGTGGAGTTGGATAGGTTTAGGTTTATGTGGGAGTAGTTGGATCTGGATCTGACTCCTCCCCGTGGATTTCATGTTCCGCAGTGAGAACCATCTCTATACTTTGGCCAAATCCAGCTTTCCAACCTTTGGTATTGTCTGATCGGTTTGTGGACCAACCTATTCAGCTTGCGGCACTCAATCTTTAAGTTTATGATCATATTTTAATATTCCTTTTATCAATTTTGTTTGTATACATGACTCAAAGCCCTCTAGTGAATGAAATCAGTACGTTCCATGTGATTTCCATTTTGTACTTCTGTTGTGCAAAATAGTGACTAATTAGAGACCCATAATATGAATTAGGAGTTAGTCTACACTTGTAAAATGTACCAGCCATTTGTTGACAAATTTAAAGGAGCCGTATGTAAGATTGTGGCCAAAACTGGTACTGCAATCACTTTCAATTTACTGTAGAGAAGTGTATCCCTTCCCCCTGACTCGTGGTTGCCAGATAGGCTGCAGGGTCCAATTTTTTTTATACGACAGAATTTGTATGTGCAGCTGTGGTAACTAGAACAGAGCTGGCAACCCGAATGCTGCAACACTACAGACTCCGTGATTGGTAGATTGGTGGAGGATGGCGCGTCAGACCAAAACACAACATGACAACATCAACATCAGTTGAGGGCTGCAAGTTCACTTTTTAAATGACAATATGCTGGCCGGACTACTGTTGTCAGTGATATAAGTATTTGAAATGAACATGATTTCTTAATGTCTAGTGACATATCAGGGTCATTTTATGATTATTTGAAATAAATTTCGTATATACAGCTCCTTTAAAACATGCTACCCCCATAGTTTAATTGGGGCAACTTGATCAGGTCACATTTATCTCTCAAGTCTAAAATGTAACAAGCTTTGCCCCTGATGTTTGCAGTCATGACAAAAAGCCTATTTGGGTTAAACATGAGAATGATGTCAGTGATGAAGAATGTTATTTTTGGCTGTAATAATTAACAGAGAAACACTGGATGTTTTGTGTTATGCTTTATTAGGTGAGTGGGAGAGGTGGTCTGACTGTAGAAAAAGATAGCGAGTTCTCTGGTCTAAGCTCCTCAATACAAGTTATACAAACACAAGTTTATCTACCGATATTCAAAGCCAGGGCTCTTAAATGTGGGGTTTATCAAGGATAGATAAAGAACTTTTTATTCTTTCAAATCAAACGTAGGTACATAAACCAAATAATTAAATTATCCACTCAGTGAAAACCCTGAATTTGGTCAGTGCACATAAATTGGCATTTCATAACACTTTATAAGTTAGACAAAAAAAATAATAATAAAGCAGGTCTACAAATGCAGTTCCCTGGAAAAAGACAAATCTCTTTAAATATGGGGTGCTGCAGACTAAGGCAACTTTTAGTCAATAAAAGGGTATTCTATTAGTCTTACATATTATAGGAATGAAACTATACAATGTTGTTGTTTTTTTCCTTCTCATTTACACTGTACACAGTCCACATCTTTCATGTTTTGGCAACAACAGCCAATACACATTTATGTAACAATTATCCTACATTTTACACCCAAACAGAGCAGTATGAACTCAGACACTATACAAACATACATGAGCACAGATTTTGTTTCCCCTCTTAAGGCCTCCTTTAGAGAGCTTGGACAAAAACTTAGATTAACTTAAATGGAATGACTGAATTTAACGAACCATTAAATCCAGTAGCCGCTTTACTTGTACCTTGAACGAAATAAAAACAACATTTAAATTGGTATAACCACAATAACATTTTCATCACATTTGTGTGAAATTTCTTCTTGCTTTACAACAGAACATAAACATGACTTCTTATCTACATTTTTTTAAATGGACACATTAGCAATCTTTTAACAGACACAATCTGCATACATTCAATTCCATTTATGATTTCTTTTAAATAAATTATTCCTTATTTCATATGATCAACAACCTTTAAACGTGTAGCAAATCCCAAGATATTCACTCTCCTATGTATCTCCTTTATACACGACATGATTGTCTAACATTGGACAAGTATGTAAAAGCCAAAATATTTTTTTTTTTCCAAACCTTCACTAATGTTAAAACCAATCAACTAAAGTTATACAAAGTTTCAAGCTTCCGTTTAAAATCTAAAGCAGACGTTAAAAAAAATCATTTAATAACTGAAAATAATTTAACTGGGTCAAAGAGTTTGTCCAAACCGCTTATGTATTCAAATTTGCCATAGTATGTACAAATGTATGTTTGTATGTATGAAAACAAACATTTACACAATAAAAGCCAGAAAACACTGTCCATTAGCTGCTACACTTCATTGTGAGGGGCATGATATAGCTAAAACAACCAAAACATACACGTGAAAAATTGAAAATTGAGGTGGTGGGGGTTAGGGGGCTGTAAAGTAACTTATTTTCTTCTTTTCTTGGCTGGAGTGTCTGTTGGTGCTGAGACGGATGTCCTTTCCGCACCAAGACACAATTGACACCCATGTTCTTTGTGAATCTCAGGTGACGGCCTGCCAGCCTTCCTCTGACAATAAGAGCGAGTAAAAAAGTGGACAGCGGGAGTGTAGTCTACCCTGAAACAGCTGGTACAAACAGGTAACTTTCCAGGGTCATGTCGTACACGTGAAGGGGGGTTGACCTGTCTGTTTCCTCCCATCCTTCAAGCCCTGGGAAGAGCGTTTTTCTTATTTATCCCCCAAAGTTCCTTAAAACCTTGTGAAAGATGATGTTCACAGGGTCTTTGTGTTGATATGTGTTTTGTAATGCTTTGTGAGGTGGTCGCTCCGCATGAAACGTTTCTGACACTTACTGCACTCAAAACGTTTGTCTCCTGAAAACAGACAAAAAAATAATAATAATGAAGAGAATTTACACAGCGAAGCAACACATATGTATTTTGTGCACGTGTACATTTGGAGGTTGCATACCCGTGTGTGTCCTGGCGTGTCGCTGGAGCTCGTCACTGCGTGTGAATCGTTTTCCACAGAAGACCCAGCTGCACACAAAGGGTCTCTCTCCCGTGTGCAGTCGGACATGCGCCCGCAGCAGGGACGTCTTTCGAAAGGTCTTTTCACAGCCTGCTATGTGGCAGATGTGTTTTCTTTTCCCCACCTCTCCTGGCCTGTTGCAAATAAAAACCAACTATAAGCACCCATAATGAGTATTTCCTTTCATAAAAGCTAATCATTATAAAATGATTATCAGAAGTGTGCCATTGAGATCTGGCCATCTGAAATCTGCATCACAGTTTTATCCAAAGGGTACAGAACCAAAAACAGTTTTCAGCTGAACCAGCTTCATTGTTTAAAATTGAAGCAGATTTACTACCTGGGTTCAGATTTCATTAGGAAAGCAATCTAGGTTTTGGCCATAAATCAAAACGGATATTTATCTGAAAAAATAAATCCATGATATTAATAATTAACATTAATTATCAATATTTAGCTTACATCTAGATTATCAGGTGTGCATCCCTATAAAGTCTGCATGTAAGTCTGAATATTCTGCAATTATTTGTGTGTGAATGAATGGCGCAGTTCTGTCTAATACAAACACTTGCGTACCAATAATTATTTTTACTATTTTAAGCAAGAGTTTTGTTGTGTACTGCCTTTTTTTGACAAAAAAAGAGTTTTAATTTTAATTTGATTAGATTTAAGATTCATTCCATTTTTGATGATAAATATGCAAGTCATAAAATAACGAATCCAGAAAACAAAACAGAAATATTTATTTCAAATAAATTAAATTCCACCAATCGATTTTGATTAACAAGTTTCAATTTGATATTGAATCATTGGATGGATATATATCAGGTACGGTATCATGGCACATTTTCTCATGGAAAAAAATGTCGAAAAACTCATGCTGTAAACCAGGGCTATTCAATTAGCTCCATTCGAGGGCCGTGTTATTAAATCGAAAAGTTGAGATGGGCCGTTGGGTTTAGCTTATTTATTGAAACATAACAGTATCAATAAGTAAGCTAAAGTAAACAAAAAAAGTATTGCATTTACTTGGAAATGTGGTACCCAACAGGTATGGTATGCAGACCATAATAAATAACTTATTTACAGCTATGTACAAATATATGAATTATACAAGATAATAGCCATTGGTAAGAATTATTTTATTAATAATTATTATAGGCTTAAATTAAAATATCCTGACAGTGAGACTTAGTAACCATAGGTAAAACCATGCATGGCTCACTACCACTGTATAAAAATGCAGGTAAAAACAGGTAAAAACTATACACACAATGAACCCTAATAAATCTAATGCAATATAAATGACTATAACATAGTATTCAATATAAGTATCCCACATTTCTGCCCAAACCATGGTAAATTATTACATTCATAGGCTATTACATGGTAAATGTTTGTAAGGGTGGTGATTAGGGGATTTATAGTCTTCTAACTTTGTTCATGTTTCTGCTATTTACCTCATCAGTAGTGTTGGGAATGTTAAGACTGTTTCATTCAATTTAAAACTAGTTAAAATCATTGAGTGATTTGTGGTTTGTAAGAGAGAGGAGTGTCTGATTGAAACGCTTCTCACTGGATGTCGCAACGCTGTTTAATAAGTGTCCGGGACCGGAGTAAACGCAACTCCTTTAAGCTTTGCGTTCCGTTATCCACTGGGCCGTGCTGCCTAGTTCAAGGTAAACTAATGAAACAATTGAAACCAGCTCTATTTTGTTCTCTATTTGTTGTTACTGACCGAGAAACCGCTTCAGATGATTCAGTAATAGCGGTCCAAACGAATACGAATCGTTTCAGACCGTTATGAAAGCGCGTTTGGCCAATTCATGAAAAGGAAATAATCGAACCAAAGAATAATTAATATCTCTGGTTCAGTCGACAGAAATACGGGACACACATAATAACTGTATACATGTATTTGAATACACAAGTTTTTTTATAATAATAAAGTTATGATAATTACATAATTATGTTTCCACACCAAATCGTTCCTTTACATTTAACATATAAACATTTAAATGGTGGCTGGCTGTCATAAAAACTTGACGGAATTATTCAACGAAAAGAAAAATGAATATGTAATATAGTGCATATAAAAAGAAAATAATTTATTTTTTGAATTTGTAATAAAATGGACAGGATTTAAAATCCGAGACTTTGTTTCAAATCAAAAGTAAAAAAGCTTATTGCGATTGATTGGATTGTGGAATTTCACACAGATTTTTAAACGCCTTTGTAAATAAAAGGTTTGCTACCTCTTTTCTGCGTCTTTGCAGTTTGGACAGGTGCAGGCCATACGCCGTTTTTTCTCTCCTGGCTGACTCTGCAGTTCCAGTGCGAGTGTCTGCGTCTGCTCCATCTGCATGGTCTGTGTTTGTGTCTGCACACCGCCCAACTGCAGACCTGCGCCTGGAACCGTCTGCACTGTGAGATGCTGCTGGCCTGAAAGACACAAACGCATCAATCAAAATGCAGCTCATATTAACATCACTCACAATGTCTTTGCGGGAGTTAAGTAACACAAATCAATAATAATTAAACACAGCCTTTTGCATCTGTTTGTCAAAACGTAGCACTCACTCACCCCCAGCGTTGGTGATTGTCACAGGAACACCCTGCACCTGGACACCATTAATATTGATGGTCTGAACAGCCTGAGCAGCAGAGGCTAACTGGGCTGCATTCAGGGTTATCAGACCCCCCCCAGCTGGGGCAATTTTAGGCAGAGTCCTTTCTTTCCTTGACCCTGTTTGAGCCTTTTTAGTGACCATCGCAGATGTGAGGGTGCTGGTGGGTGTTGTTGGCGTGGACACAGTGGTCTCCTGTAGCTGTACAGCCTGCCATTCACCTGAGGCTGTTTTAATCAGCACCTAGCACAGCAAAGCACATGCATTAGATAATTCATTATTTATTTAGATTTTTTGCAAATGGACATGTAATAAACATATTAGATAGATTCACTGCCCATGTTGATTATTAACTCTAAAGAGATTTGAGGTCGACCGATTGATCGCTTTTGCTGATTAATAGGCACCGATAACTGATTATCGGAAAAAATGCTACAAATAGTTTTTCTGGATTGTATCCACTGTTGAAGTGGCTGAGAAGGGTGCGTTTTCATTAAATAGTACAACAGTGGCCTCTAGGGTTGAAATAAAAAACATCATGATGCCTTGTTTTGACACGTGAAACAGCGCTGCACTATGGAAGCTTGTTTCCGCCACTGAATAAAAAAAATAAAAAAAAATTTTTTGTGACTTTTTATCTCACAATTCTGACTTTTTTTCCTCACAATTGCGTGATATAAAGTCGCAATTGCGAGTTTTAAAGTCAGAATTGCGAGATATAAAGTCAGAATTGCGAGAAAAAAAGACAGAAGAGCGACTTTTGACAGAAGAGCGAATTCTGACTTTTTTTCTCAAAATTGTGAGTTTACATCTCGCAATTCTGACTTTATAACATATAATTGCGAGTTTATATGTCCAAATTCTGACATCTTTTCTCAGAATTGTGAGATATAAACTCGCAATTGCGACTTATCAGTCCAATTCTAAGGGGGAAAAAAAGAATAACTTTTCCCCCCCTCAGAATAGTTTAAATCTCACAATTCTGACTTTATATCATGCATTTCTGACTTTATATCTCGCAATTCTGACTTTATATCTCGCAATTCTGACTTTATATCACGTAATTCTGACTTTATATCACGCAATTCTGACTTTATATCTCGCAATTGTGACTTTGTATCCCGCAATTCTGAGAAATAATGTCAGAATTGCAAGATAAAAACTCGCAATTGTGAGATAAAAAGTCACAATTACCTTTTATATTTTTCATTCTATGGCAGAAACAAGCTTCCATAATGCACAGAGAGGGTACACTTTAGATGCAGATTAAAAACAGACTGCACTACACTACAGGTTTTCATATCATTATAAAGTAATTCATTTGTTGACTAGATTCTGCATTAGTGGAGAACAGCAGTTATGGCGAGGCTGAGAGGATGCCAAGATTACTAGTACCTAAAGCGGTTAAAACAATGAAAAACAAAAAACCCACACAAGCCTGACCAAATTGTTTAATGTCATGATTATTACCATCTATTTGCATTAGTTTATATTCAGCTGGTTGCTTTTATGCCTTCGTTGTGCAGCGAAGTTGCATATTTAAAGCTAGAGTCATGAAAAATCAAAATGTATGTTCATGCAGCCGACACAAACATGTAAACAAAACAGAAATGTTTTCGATTTCAGTTTTTTTTTTCAGCACCACTGTAATACATGTTTAGTTATTCCTTTTTAATAGATAATCATTCTAAAATCGAAGCAAATAAAGTGGGCTTTGGCACCAGAGGAACCTTTTCATAGATCCTAGAACTATTGGCGAAAGTACCCAGATGTCGCGTGTTCGCACCGCACGAACTAAGAGTGATTTTAGTTCTAGGAACTCTTTTGGAGGAACTTATTTAGCTCCTATTTTCAGAGTAGGGTCTAAACCAGTGCTATAGGAACAACTATCCGTGACGTTAGTGATCGCGGATTGGCCGCAAGCACGCAAAGCAACCGCCATTTAAAAAAAAATGCTATGTAAACCACACAGATTATAGCCTCTATAATTACTCCACAAACTAGCTCTATGAACATAGAAAACAGTGATAGATGGGCCTCTTAATCTTTACGCTGAGGAGAAAATCCAACACAACTTTGAGGGGACCAAGCAAACATGATTATGTGTTTCTGCTCAGCTAGCAACACTGGACATCAACCTCACTGCATATGCTAATAACTTACATTTACTGTCTACTTTCTATAAAGTATTAGACTGGACTGTTAGACAGATCGTAAACTAATGAACATGCAGAATGTGAGCACTGTTTGTTTGCTCAGGCAAACTAAAGGTCAAATTAAAGGTCCGCTGTGCCGTCAAAATAAAAGCCACAACAATGAGCGTGGCTTGCGTCACTTCAGAGTTCTTACTGGCGGAGCGAAAGCAACAGGAAAACGTTCCTAGAGGAACCATTAGTTCTCGGGAAACCACCCTGGTGGCTAGTTCCTATAACTAAGTTCCTAGAACTATCCGGTGCGAAAGCCCCTAAAGTGTGCAGGTAAATATATATGTCTAATTTCAATGCTATGGTGTTTGTGTAGATATTTAAAGATGGCCATCTTTAAGGATGACTGCTTGGATTTATATGAAATGATAACACTTTACAATAAGAGTCCATTTGTACTGTAATATTATTAACTAAGGTTAGAAAAAAGAATTGTTCATTGTTAATTTCAACATTTACTAAAACATTTACAATGTTTTAATGACTAAAACATTATTTTGATATTTAAAAAGTACAGCACATTTTTATGGTTCGGTACGGTTTTGAAATGTTTGTAATAAGGTTCAGCACTATTTTATGTGTTATGTTTGTTTTCATTCAATATCCAATAAAAAACAAAAAAAAACAATCAGTTGATTAATCGGTTATCGGCCAACGTGAACACACTTAGTTATCGGTAAAATACACTATCGGTCGACCTCTAAAAGAGATAATTAAGTTTTTTGATGTACCTGTGTGGATTCTGGGGGGGACACCTGCACAGTGGGTGTGACTGTCTGTCTCTGTGGTACAGGAGGAAGTGTGGCAGAGGCGGCCTGTACCACTTTTAGAGCCTGCGAAGGGATCTGGACGACCTGCTGATCGGATTTCTGCTGAACCAACTGCACCTGCTGCACCATAGCAGGCTGACTCCCCCCTGGACTCTGCACGATCAGGAGGTTATTTCCTGCCTGTTACAGGAAGACATTATTAGAAAAAAAAAGTTGCCCACCAAATTAAAGGGAGAATTTTATAAAAATTTGTCCGGGTCATATTTCACTCAACATTTCTAGCGTTGTGACATTATTGATGCATATTTTCTGCCAAATTCTGCACTTTATAATGACAATTTTAATACCATTATTCTCATTACATTTTCATGATTTTAATAAGGATTATTAAACCATTAGCAATACTTCTCGTAAAGCTGAAATAAAATTAAATATAAATATTTGAGGAAAAGAAAAATACTGCCTTGGTATATACCTGATACAATTGAATCACTAAAATTATTAGCTTAAAAGAAATACAAACTAAAACTGAAATGACAATGAATTATCTCTACATAGTAATATTTTTTTTAAATGGCAAAACATCAAAATCACCAACATAAATGAAAACCAAATATCAAAAAATCTCAATATTAATACAAATTTAGAAGTAGATAATAGGGATGCACGATATATCGGCCAGCATATCGGTAGCAGCCGATACGCGTTCATTTTAATGTTATCGTTATCGGCCTGGTAAGAAAATGTGGCCGATATATTAAAGCCGATAAATAATGTATTGTTCCCTTCAGCTGAGACACTTGTTGATCACTGTTTATGTTTTTGAATTTCTTGAAATATGATTGAAATCTCTTCAAAAAATTAAAATACGGTTCGCAAATCTGTTATATCGGCTACATAACACTATAATGAGAACATCATTATAATCGTGCGCTTGGGACATGGGTTTAATTGTGAGTCTTTTGTTTTTGTAATCAGGCTCTCAAAATTAGATAAAAATTTATAGCACACAAATATATCAGCTTTTAAATGTAATTATAGTTAAATATTAAAGATTAATAATTATCCAAGATTAATACAAACTATTTTACTTAAAATCAGTTTAAAACATTAAAACAAATATGATGTGAATATAATTTATAACTTTTTTACTGTAGAGACTGAAATTATTGCATTATGATAGTGATAATTACATGGGTCCTACAGTCAAGTACAATGTCAAAATCTTAAAAATAGCATATTTATTTTACCATAATTTCTAAATAGGTTTTAATTGTGAAATAGGACAGCTTGTGGAACAACAACAGCAAAACAACTTTTTTTTTTTATAACAATGAATGAAAAGGACAGATAATGTTTTTCCCTTAAGTTAACACACGTGCCAACAGCACAAACAAACAAGGTCATTTTAATGTATGAATCTGTCAAACGACATCCAGGAAACCAGCAATTCACAAATTTACACTATTATGAGCTAAAAGCACTCAAGGATTTAAAAAAGCCAAAGCAGAATGATAGAAACGCACATACTTGTATGATATTGTCGGCTGTGGTCTCTATTAGCAGCGCTTCAACCTGCTCGGCTACAGGTGGAGGTGAGGCCGGTTGATGGGCAGGGGGGGGCGGGGCTATAGCCACCTGTCTCTTCCTTCCCCTCTTGCCCTTCACTGGAGCAGCAGCAGTCTCTGTTACAATATGCGCTCCTCCCACATCACTAGTAGTAACGTTAAGGGGGAGCGTGAGTCCACTAGGGAGTCGTACAACGTTAGAATTTACATTGGCATTATTCTGCCGCCGCTTTTGGGAGGACGGCTTGATCGCCACCGTCTTATGATGGGATACCGGTGCTGGGGCCAGAGGCGGCGGGGCCGGTGTGGCAGCCTGAACTGTGACAGGTGAGGTGAAAATGGCCTGGTTGGTTCCGGGGATGATCTGGATCTGTCCTCCCTGAGGCATCATTTGAATGGTCTGAGAGCCCTGGAACTGAGGGATCACTTGGTACTGGATGTTGGCATTGGATGTGCCTGCTGGACGTGAAGGGCTCTGAATAGTGAAGACAATGGGACTGGCCCCTGACGAACCAAGTCCCGCAGGCAGCTGGATGACATTCCCTTTCGCTGAGAGGAAGCCAAGGTTTTTGGGTGGAGCCGGAGCAATAGGGGCGGGCTTGATGGGGTGCAGACGGCGCGTGGTTGGCTGAGATGGTGTGCTAACCGGTGCCTGGGCGGCAGGAGGCCCGATCTTACTGCAGGTAGCCGCCAGAAGTGCCAGTGGGGAAGGCTGTGAATCCTACACGTGAGCATTCAACACACAATCAATACAAAATACCAGAAGCAAATAATTAGTATACAAGCATGAAAAAAAAGAACAATATTTTTTTATGTGTGGAGAAAGAGACAAAAAGACATTAAACTGCCACAGCTATGTTAGAAAACTGTCAATACAAATAATAATAATAATAATATTTTTTATTTATATAGCATCTGGTGTCATTTAAAGCCATTTGAACCTTGAACCGTTTGGTTCCAAATGAAGTCCATTATATGGAGAAAATCCTGAAATGTTTTCATCCAAAACCTTAATTTCTTTACGACTGAAGAAAGAAAGACATGAACATCTTGGATGACATGGAGGTGAGTAAATTATCAGCAAAAGTTTTTTAAAAGTGTACTCCTTTAAGCATTTCAAATGACTGATTTATATTTAATTGAAAACATGAATATGATTACTGTCTTCTCCGTTTAAAAAAAAACAACATCAGTGCATCTCTAAAAAAGAAAAAAGGTGTAAAAATATTGCCTCAAGGGACCTTACTTGAGAAGCGGTGGTGGAGGGCTGAAGATATTCACTGGGGCTGACTGCGACAGTGGTGGCCATACTGTCCTTTTGATCTGGAAGGAGGAGGTGGATATTTATGCAAGGAAAAAAAAATAACAACTCTCCAAATGTGACTTTCATTTGAGAATGAAATAAGGTAGCAGGACTTATTTGTGTATTCTGTGCTCAGACTTTACATGTCCTTATCTTCTAAAGCACCACAGTTTGTGATCAGTGTTTGCATAGAGAAAAGGAAATACTGAAATCGAATAAACGGATTGTTCAAATTAAACAAAACACTTTCAGTTATGAATTATGACTGTACCAAAGGAGGCGTTACCTGCTGTAATCTAAACCCTGGAGAGGAGCAATTCAGAGGGCAAGGGTTTAAAACCCAATCCACTTATAGCACTCAGTGGCACTTTACACCATAAAATGTTCTCAATCCTGCTCCTGAGGTGCTGGTCTCCTCCAAATCCAGAACTGAGATCCACTGCTCTGTTATATTCATCTTTAGTAAACAACCAGCAATGTCTCGACATTGACGACGCATGTAACGTTACAAATAACTCATAACGCAACCCAAATAAACACTTGATGTTATGATGCTTTCTAACTGGCTGTCAAGAGCTAGCAAATAAATTAGTTATACACTTTATTTGAAGTTGTAACATTTCATAATAATTCGAAGGGAATTACACCACAGGTATCTTTCTGCCATCAAATTCAACGGTTCTGCAACTTTATAACATTAAAAACTTACTCTCACAACATGCTAATCAGGCTGAAAATCATAACACACACGCTTATAACCAAAGGGAGCGTATTAACAGTAAAATTCCTGGTTGGAGGTAAGAAAAAAAAAAATTCAAGACTATATGAATGTAAAATAGTTTGATTAAAGCTGCATGATGAAGCCAGCGGCTAACGCTACGCTAACAGGCTAAACGTCTGATGTCTGTAAGTGCTTGAGCTATTATGATTGAGTGCTTTAAAGTATATTTCTTTATATCATGTTTTAATCAGCCGTCCACACGTTTGAGTCTTTCTATGACCATGCAGTGCACTATGAAAGAGTTATTCTGTCTGCGGGCACACAGACTCAAGAGTGCGCTGATGGAGGAGGAAACTGCTTGCTTAGCATGCTAACTAGCCAGATAAACTATTCGCTGCGGAAAAGAACCGTGTTTCCGGAAGTGTGCATTTGGCAGAATCGCCGTGCTACGTGTGATTTTTAAAACTCGTGTGTGCAAGCTACGACATAAAATATATATATCGGTTCATTCTCTCAATAGAATGTTTATGAAAGTAACATAGTAATATAAACACCAACGTTATAATTCCTACCCACCGCTCATGACGACATTCACTCTCCGTGAAGCCTTGAAGAGCCCACACGAGATACCGCCCCACCAGCGCCCTCTGGCCAATCTGGTTACTTGTCAATCAGCGAGAGCTAGCGGTTCTGACCACTCAGAGTGCAGTATTTGTCTGATTGACGTTTGTTCCGGCCAATGGTATATGGTAGTATTTCGATGACAGTTGAAGGATATCTATCTGGCCAATAGGTTGTCGAGTTTTCAGGAGGAGGGCGGGAGCTGTGAAGACGTCAAAATAATAAGCCGAACCAATAATACAACGGGTTGAGTTTGATTGACGTTTATATCGCCCAGTTAGAAATGGAAACACCATTTCACTCAAAAGTAATTGACAACAATTCCGATCGATCAACCTGCGTGGACTGTGGGTGCTCCATCAGAATATGGTTGTTGTCTTCTTAAATTCCAATAATGCAACCAATCAACAACAAATTGCTTTCACTCTCCAACGTGACATTTTGCTTTTTGTAAAAGCTATTTGTTTTGTTACCCCAATATTAGTTAAATTTAGATTTGATGCATTCCTAGCTGAGTATAAAAACTGAACTATGGAAACTATTTGGGTGTGTAAGTTACCTACTTTTACATATGTTGGGGACAAATTTGTGCCCATAATTGAGCTAAAATCTCCTTTTGAAGGAAGTCCTCATTTATAAATGGTATATTATACTATTTATAACCAGCTGCATATAAAAACGTTCTCGTTTAGATAGCCAACGTTTGTGTGTGGGCTGGTAAACCCTACTGTACATTATGGGGACAAAATGTCCCCACAAAGTTGGCAAAATCCATTTTTTGGTCCCCATGAGGAAAACAGCTTATAAACCATACTAAGTGATGTGTTTTTTGAAAATTAAAGTGTTTCTATGATAGGTAGGTCTAGGGGTAGGGTTAATGTGGGGATATTTACAGTTTGGACAGTATGAATATCCTTGTCTATGGAAAGTCCTCATAAAACATGAAAATACAACGTGTATATCCCCAGCCAAAAGTTTAGGATAACATTCCTCAGAAAAAAAAGAACTGTGGTGTTACCATTATATAATGATGGTAGCAAATTGGTAATACCATGGTACTGAACAATTACCATTGCTATTGCTATTAATGCAGAACACCATGCTAATTAACCATGGAATTAATTGAAATTAGAATAACCATGATAATACGTGCCCAGATCAAGCAAACAAACAAACAAGCACATGGTAACTCATGGAGATCTGCAAGGAAAAACAGATGGATTCAATGGAGGGACCAACTTAAATTCAAGCAATTATAATCCTTAATCATGAATAATGTGAAAAAGTCAACCATCTTATTTTCAAGTTTACTTTGTCTTTACTCAAAATACAGTTCATGTGGCCTGACCAGACTGAAGGAGTTACAATCAGGGAAAGGACAAATAAAGGGGTCACACACTCCACCCAGGGGCAGGGGCCTGATGAGGAAAGCAAGAAGAACCAAACAGAGACGGATTCACAAACAGGCCAGTTTAAAAACTCCAGTGTAATATAACCTACAGATGAAGGCTTTTGCTAGTACCCCAAGTCAAATGTCCTTGTTCGATTTTTTGTTTAACTTATTATTTTTTTTAAGTCCACTGTTTGGTGTCCAGTGTCATTTCAAGTCTTTTGTCTATCAAGTCAGTCTCTGGATTTATTTGCCTGCTCAACATAGACAGTATTCCAGCACTCCTCTGTACTCCCTCTGTCCACGTATTGGTCAAGAGGAGGGGCCAGTCGGCTGATGTTCATTGGCTTCTGCTGGAAGACTGGCAGGGAGTTGGAGCAGAGCTGTGCACCAGGAAGTGTCCATGTGCTGTTCCATCTATTACCCACACACAGAAATCCTAAAAAAGAACCCATTTATGTTTTGTTAATTTAATACGTTGGCTACGTGGCATTGAGTGCAACATACTATATGTAGAACAATCATTGCTGCAAGTACTTACAGTGAAAAGGAGCGTTCTGGCTATGTTTCAGACTCGGCTTCCTGTTCCACACCTGCTGCCTGGCGCATGCCTTTGATTGACAGGTACATTTCTTCCTCTGGATCATAGTAATAGAACTTCCTCAAGTAGACAATGAGAGGTCTAAGATAGTAAAAATAGGAAAGTTAGTATTTATAGACACTTTGTATGCACATTTTTTTGCCTTTTAATTGCTAAGCAACTTTATTTCAAAAATTCAAAATAACAGTGGGTAGACCTCATGTGACACATCCATAACCTTTGAACATAACCATTCTAGCTCAAATAAATGCTGTTTTTTAAAACTTTCTAATTATCAAAGAGTTCTGAAAAAATGTGTCATGGTTTACACAAAATATTAAAGGACAAGTTTGGTATTTTACAATTAAAGAAACCTATTTTTGTAAAAAAATAAAGTTGTCCTTTAAACAGTTTTTAACATCAGTGATTTGGAATGATTCTGAAGGATCATGTGACACTGAAGACTGGAGTAATGATGCTAAAAATAAATTGACACCACAGGTATAAATTAGGGCTGTCAAACGATTAATCGCAATTAATCGCATCCAAAATAAAAGTTTGTGTTTACATAACATGGGTGCACTGTGAATAATTATTTTGTATATATATAAATACACACACATACATGTATATTTAAGAAAAAAAATATTGTTTAAATATAAAATATTGATATTTATATATAATATCAATTATATATAAATCTACGTATATAGAGTATATACATGAAAATATTTCTTAAATATATACAAGCATGTGTGTGTATTTATATTTATAAAATAATTATACACAGTGCACCCACATATATTATGTAAACACAAACTTTTATTTTGGATGCGATTAATCGCGATTAATCGTTTGACAGCCCTAGTATAAATAATTAAAAAAAAAATTAAAATAGAAAACAGTTATTTTAAACTGTAATCATATTTCACAATATTACAGTCTTTACTGTATTTTAATTATAAAAATATGCAACCTTGGTGAGCAGAGCACACAAGACATCTTTCAAAAGTATGTTACAGACCTAAAATTTTAGAATTATCGTGTATCAGAAAACTAAATGGGCAAAATAATTTAAAGTGTGAGTGAGTCATACTTGGGGAGGGGCAGCTCCTGGATGTGGTCTATGCGGACGAGTTGTCGGATACAGAAACGGCAAAGATGCTGGAGTGATTTCACATTGCTGAAGCGTGAGACTGGGTAGAGCAGCTGCACAGGGGTCGGGGGCAACCCTGAGACAGACACCACATGTTTCATTACACTAACCTTTCATCTCTCACACCCTCAAACCTGTTTGTGGTCTTACGAACTAAATAAACCCTGCCTCACTTCTGTGCACATTGCTACCACAAACACTTTAGACAAAAAACATAGTTGTTAACTAAAACTACTCAAAATAGTTTTTTGCCCCAATTATGCTATTTTAAACTATTTTTGGTGATGTTCTAGTTCTACAATAGATTTACATGCATCCAAGGTCAAAAAACACTTTAATTTTCTCATAATATACATTGCAGAATCACCTCTTTTCTCATAGTGTCTGAAACTGTTCAATAAAAGATCCGTTGTCTTTTTTCCGAGCGCCTACTCTGCTCTGATTGGTCAGATGGCCCAGTCTGTAGTGATTGGTCTACCACTTACAGCACGTGTCGTAAACAAAACGCCCAATTTCAGCTCCGGAGGCTTTCTTAGCACTTGTATACACAGTGATTGGAACAGTAACAATGGCATTGATTTTACCATTTTAATTCACCCTTTGCCGGAAGTTTGATTGACAGGTGATCTGACCAATCATAATGCCAAATCTGCCATTTTGTCTGACAAACAAACCAGACAGGAGGAGTTCGGGCCATATTAACTAAACAGGGCAAATTAGCATGAGAACCCAAATGCACAAAAGCAGCGATGGGAGTGGACAATTCAGCGCAGGATCTACTGATGACATTCCGGATCATTTCCATAATGACCAACACAATCAACCAAGATCAGCGCAAATTAGCATCTGGTTTAAGACATGCTTTTTTTGGGCAGTAAATAATGGCGTAAAACCAGTACATCGACGAGCGTAAACCTTAGTAAATCACCTTGCATGACTCATTTAAATACTCTCCTCCCATTAATTGAGTCTGAAAGGAAAACTCCCACAAATGCATATGCAATAAGATGAGCCACAAAAATAACCCTGTCCACGCCTTTTCAGCGCAAATTTTTCACTGCATGTCTTAAGTAAATCCTGACAATAGAAAGTGTGTATTGACATCTTTCTGCGTTTGAAACAACATACCTTCTGATGTTCATTCATGTTTATTTTGTGCTGTAACTAGTATGAAGAGCTGATCGGTTCACGTGCCGCTTGAACTGAGGTGCTACAATGATCTTTCATGACACATTAATGTAGCGAAAGTATCTAAGGGGGACGGGTCTTTGCAAAGGTTCGATTCCATCGCAAGTCCTCATGCTTTGGGAAATGCATGCAAAGTGGAAACTGTATCCTCTTGACAACATGACATAATGCTACAACATGTTGTTTCACAGCTACAACTACAGTGTTTGAGGGTGGCTAAAAGAACTATGTAGACATCGTTCACAGGCATGTTACAGAATTGAGACTGGGATTGCTGACGACTCGTTTCAGTAATTCCCCAGACAGCAAACTGACATTGAATCAACGTGGAAACGACGTCTCTCATGACATTGAAACAACGTTGATTTTGCTCATCGAATAAACGTTGAACCAACGTCAGACGCGGCATTCTTCAAAGCTAAATGAAAATCGAAAATTGGTTTGCTTTCATAACGTTGAAACAACGCGTTGATTTCAAGTTGATTTTCCGTTAGTTTTGAAAGAATGACGCGTCTGACGTTGGTTCAACGTTAATTCGATGTGCAACACATTGTCAGATCAACGTTGTTTCGATGTCATATTTCCACGTTGATTCAATGT